AGAGATGGCACTTCAGTAAATGTCAAGGATAGAATAGTGAGCATGGACTCCAAAGGTGGCTAGAGTCTACATGGGAGTGTTTGACTTTATTGTATCATCTCCCTAAAAGACAATTCATTCAGATCCCCCAATGAACTTACAAGTCCCAAATTCCTTTTCCACAATTCAGAAATCCAAAAACTACATGCTGATTTACTTTCATAAATTTGTACAAACTTGTTTGACATCAACATCTGACCTTGCTGTGAGTTCATTCATAGTCTTCCACTTTTATCCCACTTTACTCATCTCTAGAAAATTGTGCTACTCTGAATTCCAACACACATTTGGCCCCCAGGATATTGAGCAAGGGATTGTGGATCTGTAATTAAAAATGGGTCCTTGCCTCTTCAAAGGAACTATTCACCATGTCCCCAACAGAGAGAGCTGCTTCTGCCTGCGGCTGTGCCCTTGGTAGTGAGAGACCACCCAACAGGGAATGTTCACAGGAGACACAGCAAGGGTGCGCTGTCTGAATCTCATGGCTAGGGGAGCCCAGGCCTAGCGGCTTATAGTGTATTATTTTTAAAATCTGAAATAATAAAAAGTTATATGAAACAATCTTAAGAACAACAAAAGCCAAATACTTAATCATTGCCATGTGCAGGGCACTGCAGTAGGTACGGCCAGCAAAGATGCAATGGAATCAGAAACCCCGTTTCCAAGGAGAGCTGGTTTCTTTTCTCCAATAAACGTGGACAGTATTCTGGCAGTGTTTCTCACAGTGTGATCCTCTGACCACCTGCATCAGAATGTCCCAAAGCATTTGTGAAATGCAGACTCCTGGGCCCACCCCTAGACCTGCTGGGTCAGATTCTCCAGGGACAAGGCCCAGGAATGTTTGATCATGGTCCCCAGGTAATTACGACATACAATGATGAGGGAGCAAAGGGAATGGATCACAGCGTTAGGAATGCAGGTGGGGAAACATCTAAGCTGTGAAGTCCAAAGGAAGCAGGCAGAGCAGCAAGATATGGGTCTAAAGAGGTTAAGATAGAATGAACAAGGTTCTTGGTTCCAAAAAGATGGCAGAGCCTTCATACACAAAACAAGGATCCTTTTGTAAGACAGATGATATAATATCCCTATGACTGCAGATTTATTCCATTGTGTGGTGGCCTTGTAGGAACCTGGGGTCTAACTTCTGCTCCAGTCATCTTAGGTGAGGGTGATCAGAGCATCCCTTGCCATTTTTATAGAGATGAGGAGCCAGGAGGAGAGAGTGCCTGGCATAGCATCAGAATCGACACCAGCACCTTGAGACTGAAAACCATGACCCAGAGTTGGAAATTCACTTGGATTGGGTATCACATGTGGCAGATAAGGAAATCTGGAGTTTATATTTCTGGCAGGAAATACAATTTTGAAAACAATATTGCATCCTCTTCAGAAAAAAAAGATTGTCTTCTTTCATGTTTGAAGACATTGTATATCTAAAATGCAAAACAACTGGAAAAGATCAATTGGGCAGGAGGAAACTTCTGGGGATTTTTAACTTGATTATGATGATGGTTTAAGAGTTGTATGCACACATGTCAAATTCATCAAACTGTGCCCTTTGCATATGTACAGTTTATTACACACCAATTATACCTCAATAAAGCTGTAAAGAAAAAAAGGAAAATGAAAGAAGAGGCTTTAGAAATCATTTAAAACAAAGCTGGTCAATTATGAAATAGGCCTTCACCCAAACACACGCACAGGATTTGACCTGCAGCAGTGCAGAGGGGCCTATCTTAATACAACTAAATTCCTAGCACTCTTTTCCATTCCAGAGGGGCAGGAGCCATGTTTGAAACTGCTATATCCCAAATACTTAGCTCCATCACCTCATACCTGGGCCTGGGTACGTTGCTGAGCTTCTGAGTCACACTCCTATCTGTGAAATGGCAATGGTCACACCTACTTCACATTGGTGATCCTGAGGTTCACCCAAGAAAACATGGAAGGTACTCAGCAGACTGTCTGGCCCAAAGATGTTTAATAAGTGCCTGTTTCTACTCTAATTGTACCCTTCAACATGGCCTCTTGGGAGATTAAACACTTACTAAAATGATCTGTCATTACTCAGAACAGTTTGAAACTTTTTTGCTTAAACTTCCTATAGTTTGTTTACTAGCTGTGATAACTTGGAGGAATAACACCTGAGGAATAGCTATCCCACCTTCTTATGGAGAAGGACACTTTTTGGACTTCATTGACTACATGGCCCAATAAGAAATATTTCGCCTTGTGATTCAGTTCATGTATATGCTTTACATCTACATCTATTTTTATTTTTATATCTATACCTCTATAATTAAACCAAGTTTCATGACCCTCAAGTGTGGCCCCTCTTTACTACATGTGATATATTCAGGTACCACCCATTTTACTCTTTAATTTTTAAAAATATGCTTATCACAGCCCAGCAGATTGATTTCACCATTCATTAGTGGGGAATGGGGTGGGGAACCTGTGGCCTCAGGGCCACATGTGGCCTTACGCATCCTTGAGTGTTGCCTTTTGACTGAATACAAACTTCACAGAACAAATCCCTGTGAAGTCTGGATTTGGCCGAGGGGCCCCACTTGGGGGTCTTGAGGGCCACATGCAGTTTTGAGGCTGCAGGCTCCCCACCTCTCGTTCGATGCATATTCCTGAGCCTTTACCTCAGAGAGCTGGCATGGGAACAGGTATTCTGCCTTTTAACAAATCCTCTAAGAGACTTACAGGCAGGTTGTTGGAGGATCATACTTTGAGGAACTCTCTTCTAGAAACTTGATGTACGACAGAGTCCGTACATTTTAAAATGAGATTTCCTATTCTCCCTTTCCAGATATGATCTAGGATCAGCCTTAGGGGTACATACATAAGATTTGATGGTAAGAGTTTGGTGGAGGCCATGCTTTTGCCATTTCTGTTGGCAAGCTGGGTCATGAAGGCATTTGGCTTTTCTGCCTTCAAATAGGCAAACATGGTTTTTTGGTGTTGAAAGGCAAGGTTTGGGGCATCTGTTTCACTGGTGTTGATTATAGCAGGTGTGGCATACATCCAGCATCTACAGCAGTACGGACAGCTTCCTGACCAAGAGGAATTCTCAGTGGTGGCAGTGGTGGTGTGGTTTGAGCCAGCATTCTACCAATCTTAAGAAAGGTAGCTGGGCATAGTGGCTCGTGCTTATAATCCCAGCTACTCCAGAGGCTGGGGTGGAAAGATTGCTCGAGCTCAGGAGTTCAAGATTACAGTGAGCCATGAGCTATGATTGTGCCACTGCACTCCAGCTTGAGTGACAGAGTGAAACCCTGTCTCTCTGAAAACAATAAAACAGAAAGAAAGAGAAAAAAAGAGAAAAGTACATGCTCGTTTGGAGGCCATGCCCAGTTCTGGGAGATAGTTTGGGAGCACATTCCCAAAACTTGGAAGCACAACTTGAAGTTTGTTCTCCAACTTCCATTTTACACTCTGTAATAAATTATTTCTTGCTTGAACTAGAGTAGATTCTGCTAGAGTAGATTCTGTCTTCTGCAACTGAGCTGGAAATAGTATCCTAGCCATACAACAAAACTGGTCCAACGATGTTGTAATTCTTGCTCTTTTTGTTTTTACTCACACTGCTATCAGCTGCATGACTGCCATAGTTGGTAGCCATATAGTAAAATAACAAAATAAACATTTAACAAAATCCGTCCACAAAAGACAAATATTTGCTACCATTGAAACTGTCCATTGAAAGTTGAAGTAAACAAAGATCTTTCAACAATGACAACATTGTTGGCATTACATTGCCTGCAAAGGTGATACTGTTTAGAAGAAAAGTACTCATTCAATGGTAGGATGTCTAATTTATAAATAAAATAAAAAAAGAAAAGTACTCATTAGGACTTAGGCTTTCTGTCCAGATTGTTAGGCAGTCAGTATATATCCATCTGGTAACCAAAGGAGAAAACAGAGGTAATGCAGAGACTGATAATACAGAATGTGTTTCCAAGGAGTTACTGTTCTTGTGGGCTTCTAGATACCCAACCAAGCACTGTGCCCACTGTGACGGGTGCTCTAATGGGGATGACACTACGGGTAATTACTTAGCCACACCCTGTACCCAGAGCCCAGGTGTTTTACTGCTCCTACATCCTGCCTCTGCAGCCTCACTCCTACAAGCTGACACTTAATGTAAACACTTAATATCTATGTGTCTGCAACAATGACAATGTCATGAGGTGAGGATTCCAAGGGCAGAAGGCCTTTGGTGAGTTGGCAAATAGAGAGTACCAGGTTTATACCAGGGAAATATACTTAATGGGGAGTCTTGAGTCTATGAAAATAATATCAGGAGATCACAAGATTGTCTTAGCCAAAGATCAGATGAATCAGAACCTTTAAAAGTTCTGTACTTCTGTTCAGAAGCAGGATGCTGGTAATTTGGGACAGGAGTCTGCCAACCTCCTCATTTGCCAGCAAATTAATAAGCTCCTCTTTCCTTCTCAAAAAAAAAAAAAAAAAAAAAGGAAGAAAAGAAAAGAAAAAGAAAAAAAAATACAGTAACATGAAATCAACTCATTCTCTAAAAATTAGAAAGATCAAACCAGGGAAGCCTGTACTTGAAATACTAGTGCTTATTAGCATAGTTTTTAGTGTGCAGATTTATGAGGTTTATCGTGGCAAACATATCCACCCTATTTTTGTCTCCAGAATTGGATTCTGGAAAAATGTGATCAGTGCAAAGGCAGGCTGGTACTCTGGTACTATGACAACATTGAAAAGGAGAAAAATGACTTGCTTGGCAAAAGTTTTGACAAGAGAGGCCAACAGAAACCACGAGCCTTGGCTATTTTAACTCAATTTGTTTTCTGAGCTCGGTAGAGAATGCCTCTGTGCTAGACATGTACCATTTTCCCTTCCAGGCGCTCCACGCTGGCCCTGCCCTTTGCGGACTGTTCACCAAGCAGAGCGCTGCGGAGGGGCACTGGGGGAGCCGACTCACGCACCTTCCAGAGCCTCTGTACTGTCCCCCTGCTCCGTCGATGGACACTCAGGGGCCCTAGCGACAAGCTCCTTTGTCCTCCGGCCTGTGGTTGGAGAGCCAACGAGATGCGCAGGCAGAGACGCAGGAAGAGAGGAAAGCGAGTCCGGGCTGGGCCCACTCTCCGCGGGCTGCTTTCCCGGGCGTGGTCCTCCACCGCAGGCCACGGCGCCCGGGGGCACTCACCATTCCCTCTCCTCCCGACCTAGGGTGGCTACAGCGTCCCACAGGTAGCAGTCACCGTTCCTTGCTGGCTTCTTTCAACCCAGTACATCCTTGTAAATCACCCTTTATTAAACTTTCCTCAGTTTCCCTCCTTTGACTGTGTTACTTGTTCCCCGTGGAAACCCTAACTGCAAGGCCGCTGTTTAGGTCCCACGGCCGGCCCATGATGGGAAGTTCACTGCCTGCTCTTCATACACCTCGGTTAGATCAGCTTGTGTCTGGAAAGGAGTCCAGCAGGGCTTGGCTCTGTCGTGCCGGGAGGGCCGCCTCCCCAGTGTGCTTACTGAGGGCCGGAGCCGTTGGCGTGAGGCCAGCGTCAGCCAGGAAGGCCGCCGTCGGTCACCTGAGCGCCAATCCTAACCTCTGAGCGTCCCGGGCTTTCTGAATCAGACAACGTCCAGACTTCACACGGCTGCCGAGCGCAAGGTAGGAAAAAGGCTTCTGCTCTTTGGCTTCTGCCTTTTCACTAAAGCCACATCTTTATCCAGTTAATCAGAGCAGTGTTATTCAAAGAGTAGTGTGGGGACCGCTGCTGGCGCCAGCCGAGGGGCCTTGCATCAGAGTAAGTCCATACACTTGGCTGACAGACTTTTTTTTTTTTCTTTCTCAGTAGCAAGACTTCCCTGATGAAGGAAGCAGCATGCTGATTTCCATTTCCACATAGCTTGTTTTTCTCATCACAGATGGGGAACAAATACTTCTCAAACTTCTATTTGGGTACTTGGAATGATACTGAATTACAGTACTCTGAACTCAGGCCCGGGCAATAAACTAGGTTGGTGTTTCCCATGTTGTGCTCCCTGGAATCCTAATTCTTTCGACATATTGTCTATTAAGAGCGGGAAATGCTTAGAGACTCACAAAGCACATGACCAGGCTAATGGCCCTGATAAGTTCTGCAGTTAAAGAACTTGCTCACTTTTGTTTAGTGTGGAATTTCCTATAGTTGTTGGGAATGATTTTGTCATGTCATGGCTATTACCATTTGTGACATTTGTGTTCTGTGGAACTAACACTGCAGGGAAGGAAATGCTTCAGGAAATGACCTGTAGAGTCTCTTGGGAAGATATTTATATTCTCAGGGACCCTGTTTCCTTAGCTGTCAATTAATGCCTGACTTCTTAACAGTGCTAAGTATTTTCATACACATGCCCTCACTGAGTCTCATGGTTCTGCTGTGAGAACTAGGGTGGGAATTATAAATCATAGTCTACACAGGAGTGACCAGAGGGCCAGGTTACATGATTCACTCTAAGCACACAGCTTGTGAAAGGCGAAACCAGAATTTGACACCCAAGTCTTCGAATTCTAAACTCTATATTTCCTACTGTGCTGCATTGAATTTTTGAGCTGGAAGGAATCTTAGTGAATAATATATCTAAACAGGAAAATAATACCCCATTAAGGGAGTGATTCAGTGCTAATTCAGTGCCAATTCATGTAACTTTTAGCTGATCTTTAAACCTGTTTCTTTACCTCATTTTAGCACCTGCCTCTTGTTATAGTCAAACAGAACTTTCCAGTGTCCTATTTTGCTCACAATCCCGGAGAATGGGTCACGTTCTCCTTCTAAAGTAAAGCAGAAGATCAGAGACTGAATGTCACAGATGCTGGATTTCTCTGTGTGTCCACAGAACAAGGCAATGGCATTGGGGAGACAGTAAGAAAACTCTACACTTATTTTCTGTCTTCCTGAGGACAGACAAAGGGGCATGGGATTTAACTACACTGGGCTAATGTGATTAAATCACCATCCATCTTTGTGTGGTCAACTAAAAGAAAAGGAAGTGTGATGATTTTCACATTTTTAAAAAGAAAGGCTAAGAAATAATCTGATCATGATGTTCTCCATTCTCTTTGTGTGTTTCTAGCCAGTTTTAATCTAGTGATTCATCCCTTCATTCATTCAGTCAGTTTTTCTTGAGTACCTACTTGGGGCCAGGCAATCTGCTAGGGACTAAGGAAACAGAGTGAACAAAATTCATTTCTCACCCAAGTGCAATATGAATCATCATTACCGTCTACAAGCTTGTATTGAACACCTTGTGTGAGAGGTGCTGGTACTGGGCACTTCAGGTACCTATAACAAGGCACGACACAGCAAGGTCCTGTCCTACTGGGGTTCAGTCTCCTTGAGGCGATACCAGGCCCATAAAAGGCTAACCGGCATTGTGCAATGCTAAGTGCCAGTGGAGTATGAAGAGTAAGTGCAACCAGCATTCCAGGGGGAGGAGATCACTTGATCCAGGCAGGTGGGGAAGCTGTCAGAGTGGCATGATTGTGGTCAAAGCTAATAATAACTCTATTATAAACCACAGCATTGCAAGGGAGAAGGAATAATTTGAGAGAATGAAATCTTTTGGGTTGAAATTGACCTCATGGAAATAAATCTGCCATTTAAATAGTTTCAGGTTTCATTTATGTCATGAGGGTCCATTTGTGGGTGACTAGTTCCCGAAATAGGGAACTCGTCTCTCCAGGCAAGAGTAACCTTGAATCAGAAAGATGAAAGTTTATTATTTTTTTGAAAGTTATTCAGCAGTTGTGTATGGCATTTAAGTAAGGAAAATGACCTTAAACTGGAAGGTTTAGATTACCTTGTTATCTCTGAGAGGCTCTCTAATTATTAGGAGGACCTGAATTTTCTCCCTGTCACTGAAGATGATTGTCTCGCCTGTATCGAAAAAATACTTTTTTTTATTTGTCTCATCCTCAGATAAGTTGTCAAAAGCTAATCCCTTGTCCTGTAAATTATGAAGAACTTAAAAATATCATTGATGATGTAGATATTTCTATAGCTTTATTTAAAAAGTTTACATATCATATCCTGTTAATTTTAGAGAAATTATAATTGGATATAAAATATTCTGTTTATGTGGTTACGTTCTAAATAGAAAATCACATCCATGCTTAGTGAGGTTTTAAAATTTTATTTATTCTAAATTCTTAGAACCATGCACAGCTAATATAGGACTTACTTATGTGACCTTAACATCAACCAGCAAAAGAACCTTGCAAATTTAAGATACTGAATAAAATACCTTCTGACCTACATTGAATTCTCATAGAGAATACCACAGGGTTTGGCCAGGCATGATGGCTTATGCTTCTAATCCCAGCATTTTGGGAAGCTGAGGCAGGAGGATTGCTTGAGCTCAGGAGTTTGGGATCAGCCTGAGCAAGAATCAACACCCATCTCTACTAAAAATAGAAAAATTAGCTGGGTGTCATGGTGTGCCCCTGTAGACCCAGCTACTTGGGAGGCTGAGGCAGGAGGATCACTTGAGCCCAGGAGTTTGAGGTTGCTGTGAGCTATGACCCTACTGCACGCTAGCCTGGACTATAGAGTGAGACTCTATCTCAAAAAAACAAAACAAAACAAAACAAAACAAAACAAAACAAACAAAAACACCCACAGGGTTTGATCACAGATGAGAAGCGCTATAGGTTTTTTCTCTCCCAATAAAGACAACTTTTAAAAAGCTGAGTAAATTAATTTTCTTACTTTTTTTCTTTAAAAATCCAGAAGTTAACAAAATAATGACGACTGAACCTGCAAAACAATAGAAGGCAAAATCTCAGGAAGATAAACTGAGCACACGAAATTCCTTTGATTCCAGTGGCATTTTCCAAACCTGAAGAAACAAACATGCAAAACTGAGGTGCTGTTTTGGTGGCCTCTCAAAGCAAGTAGGAAGAAGGCAAAGCCTGGGCCCCATCCATGGCGAAAAGTACCATTCCTCCCCAAATATATTGACCTGGGGTTGAAAGGCCTGTACCCCCAGGGAAGTGGTAAGCCTAAAGTGAACCAGCCTTGCATGGATTCGCAGCCCAGGTTTGCAAACCAAGGCAAGGGACCCAAGCCCTAGACTTAGACTAAGCATGTCCCTTACTGGTAATGCCCCAGGAGCAAATAAAAATAGTCTCCAGAGAAAAGCTCCATAATATCAGATATGAACCATTCATTCCTAAATTATCTTTCAAATACAATAACCAGCCCTTGGTCAAATATGACCAGTTGCATGAACATGACAACACAAGAACTAGCAGAAATAACAGACAATAGAAGCAAACCATAAAGACTTCTAATGTTAGAGTTATAAAATGCAGACTACAAAATAGCTATGTGTATTATGTTTAAAGAAATAAACGTAAGTCTCCAATGAGCAAGAAACTCCAAGAAGGCCAATAGCACCACCCAATTTTTGTAAAAACAGACAAAATACCTTTAAACACTTTGGAACATATTCCAGTAGAGAGAGGCCAGGGGTTGCCCCAGTTGAGGAGAGCCCCCAGCCCAGGTCACACATGTTTCCTGGGGTGACCAGTGCCCCACAACTGGTCAATTCTGGTTATGAAGTCTTGGCCAATCCAAGCCACATCACCCCAATAGCTCTGTAAGTTATTCCACCCTCAGACTCCCTGTGAGGTCACCTGACACTTCTGTTGAGACTGCCTCAGCATTAGAGTCTCAGTGGGTGATAAACTCTTGCTGTTGCTTGGGCACTTTAGCTCCTTGTGGCAGGGGACAGGCAGGCATGGAGAAGAATCACCATCTTGGAGGGGGTAGTGGCCCTGCTGTTACACTGAACAGGTCATGGAGGAGTACACTTGGCATCCAGTTGATTCTCTTGGGTGCCTTTTGGTATTCCCTTCCTTAATTTTGACAGTGAATGGACAAATGTAGTGATCCAGTCTGAGAAGGGCCTGGTGATCAGGGGCTCAGGCCTGTCAGGGTCAGGGTCACAGGACTGTGTAAGCCATTGACTCCAGCAGAGATGTTAGCTGATTGAGAGAGAAATCCAGAATAGGGAGGAAAGGAGGAAATAATGATCAATTGTTTTGGCCCTGAGATCAGCAACAGCTATAGCTCATCCTACTAACCTTCTCCTAAGTTTCCCCTAGGTAGAGAGATCCACTGGAATTCTGGAGGGACTGCTCCCAGCACTTGTTCAAAGTGATGGATCCAAGTAGTGCAGTGTGTGGACTATAATGGATATGGTCCTGGTCAGCTGGGTCACCCTTCAGGATGAGACACTTACTCCCTGAACAGCTGGGACAGCTCTGAGCTGGCAGCCCCTGTGGTGTTTGCCTCAGATGAAGACAGCCACCTAGCCTAAGGTCCCACCTCCTTCCTGGGTGGCCCATATCCAATGACTAATCAACACGGGATATGGCATGTCCTTTCCCCATTCTCCTGCATGTGGGGCACCTTTGAAGATGACTCCATCTTCAGAATTCCCCATAGTTAATTGTGTCTTCCATTGAGATGTTCAACATCACAGTTCAACTTCTCCCTGTGCCCAGTCCTGCTTTCTCCTCTTCTTTTACACAGGTTCAACCCCACGAGCACTCCTTCATAAACCTCCTGCACATGAATCTCTGTGTTCAAGTCCGTTACTCTGGGGACCAGCCTGTGACACTGA